ATCATTCTACTACACTTGATTTAAAAATTCGAGAAAGAACAAATACCCTGATCAGGTATCTCGATTGAAATCGTTGTTGATGTTATTTTCCATTAAAATAGTATTATTGCTTATTTTGATGATCCTCGATACAAAAGAAGGTGGTTATACCGACTAATTTGGAAGCTAGCATTGCTATTCGCACGGAACATTTGCGGGAACGATCTCAAAATGAACATATCATCTTACTCCCTCCGTCCCAATTTAGGGATGCACTTTTTTTTAAAAAAATTATCTCACGAGGAATGATATCTTTCTATATTTACATATAATTTAACTTTGAACTTCTCATTTTACCTTTAATAAAATGATTTATAATAATATTTATGATATATTTAACAACAAATTTTAAAAGTTTTTTTTCTTTTCTAAATTCGTTATCCAATCAAAATGTGAGAAATAATTAACCATCTTAGAATATTTCATATATTAGTGCATTTTAACAAAGGTAGCACGGTTCACAAAGCATCTCGCATTCACGTAGGATCCAAGGAAGGATCGCACTTTAAGTGATGTGATGTGGACAAGCTACCCTAATGCAAATATTAATAGCTGTTTCCACGCCTTAAACTCATAACCTATAGATCACACGAAAATAACTTTTCCGTTGCTCCAAAGCTCGCCTAGGCCGGGCAAATACAAGCAAAAGGGCAATAAAGGAGGGAGCACAAACTATTGTTCTCCACTCATCCACTTGATATATAGTACTTTCTACAATTGATGGCAATTGGTACTAATTCCTCTTGTGTACTACTTCTATCATGGTTTACCACAAGTCCAAAGGTAAAAGGGCCAACTCAAACTTTACTTCCTTGTCCTAATGTCTATGTCCTTCCCACTATATGTGAAACTCATAGTTGATGGCAATTGGTACTAATTCATGTGGTTGTAAATAACCAATTGTACCTTATAAAATGTGTAAAAAGATCACTTAACCAAGATGTTCAACTCATCACTTTTTTCAATAAATATTTTACAAATATGGTCTAATAACTTTTTGCTGAAAAATTATATTGTATAATTAAGTAATTTTTTTTATGTATATATATTATATAATTGATTTTTTTTTGGCTTCTTCGTATATCTAATTTTTTATATTTTAACTTTTCTTAGTAAAATTCTAACTAACTATAACAAGAATAACGATAGAAGAAGGGCATGGGTTCAATGAGTTACCATGAGGATGAAGAACAATGACGACGACGACGACGACGACAACAACAATACAATATGATTCCACAAGCGAAATTTGTGGAGGGTGGAGTGTACGTAAACTTTACTCCTACCTTGTGTGAGGTAGACAAACTGTTTCTAATAGACCATCGGCTCAAAAAAATATATTTCTAAAATAGGTTTGAAAATATAAGAGTAAAATACTATGACAAAAATATCGAAGAAAAGAAAAATATTAGTAGCAAAAGTAGTAAGATAACTAAAGCAAGGTCAATAAGATGAAGAAATGAAATAGAATTCTTTGCATGAGAGGTCCTTTTACATCTATGGGTCCTTGTCCAACTTTATTCATGTCTCCATCTTTGTTTCCCAGAAAAACTCACTACTTGTTTCCTTAAACATGAAAAAAGAATTTAGTCATACTCAATATTTGTATTAATAAATTGATAAATGCATAACACTGGTCTTTTATATAAATCTTAATCATTTAACCATTGTTCACTAACATGCATTCTTACTCCAATTTGTGACTTTTTAAGATTAATCTATTAGATTTAATACGGTCATACATTTCTATAATATTCATCCTCTATAACATACTTCACTATAACGGCCAAAATTTACATGTTATGTTATAATATATGTTCTCTTAGACAATACTTCACTATAGCAGTAAAAAATATAAAAACGAACGAGGCTAATATAGAAAGATTTGATTGTAATTCATTATTGGTACTGTATTAATCAGTTAATTCATCATATCCTAAGCTTTTCTACTTATATCACTCGTCGTAAAATAATTAGTAGTACTTGTTAATTTCTTCTGATAGGTAAATCACAACATTATGATGCTTACTAAATAGTACATCAAATTTCCCTCATTTTAGGGCATTACGTTGAAGAACCTTATCTATTAAGGAATTTGCTAATGGCATAACAATTTTTTCCGTGTGGGGTCGAAGGTCACAAACGCATATTATACCCTATGAAACACGTAATTTGACAACATGAACGTGCTTTGGCAGCACCACTATCTATAAATTAGTTATGCTATATGTTTTACTCCATGTACAAAAGCATTGGTGTGCGAACAAAGTCTCATATTGATTGTTGAAAATATTAGTAACCTATAATAAAGTGTATGAATCTCTTAATGATGTATTTTGGGGAAAATCGTGCGGGCCTGACCTAAAGCGGACAATATTACACCATGTTAAGAGTATCTTTGGACTGGTTTAGTCCAACAACTGGTATCAAAGCTCAAGTTCGGTAGGAAAAGTATGGAGATATGGCAGAGTGATGGTGTGAGGCTTGATTTGTTTACTCTTTACGAGTTTGAAGACGCACACACAAGAAGAAGCTAGTTGCGGGCTTCAGTTGTCGCAAATACTCTAACGATGCAGGTGACACATAGTGAATCTCGAAATAGTTTGAGGAGGAGACGTGTGGATCGTGGCAATGAGCCACTTGGAGCTTAGTCCGAGAGTGAAATTATCAGGTGTACGTGCAAAAGAATTCCCACATTGGTAGCTGAAAAAGATTGGGAGCCTACATATAAAATGTAGGGATCTTAATAGTGTGAGTTCTTTTGGGGAAACCATGCATGCTTGGTCCAAAACAGATAATATTAGACTATTTTAAGAGTATGGAGTATCTTTGGACTAGTTTAGCCCAACAAAAGTGATGGTTCGGGGAAGAGCCACATCTCAAAGGAGCGTATGATGTAGGCAGTCTACTTAATGCAAGTATTAGTAGCTAATTTTACGGCTCAAACCCATGACTTATAGGTCACACAGAGACAATTTGATCGTTGCTCCAGACTTCCCGTCACTAGGGATAGCGAAGAGGGTTAGATATTTAAAAGTGGAAAGCAAATTTCTGGCTGTCTATATGCTCAAGGCAAAATTAAATAGCTTCATCTGATGACATGTAGTTTTATCTTAAATCAATTACTATCTACAAAATGAAACAACTTTTTCTTTTATCATGTGAAAATACTATGCTTTCTTAGGATGCTATAGTACAACAATTATAGGAAAGAGCACTAGCATCGTGGATTGGACATACGTGAATAAAGTAATAATGGTAAAGTTAGTACAATGAAAATGACATAACTTTTAATAGAAAAATTAGTAAAGATCTTATTAGGGGTTGTCCTCAAGCTCCTTTTCGTGCACAAGTCATCTCGCATTCACACAGAGTTCGAGAAGGACTGCATTCCAAGAGGTGTAATTAATGTAGATCGCTTACTCTAATGTAAGTATTATTTACTACTTTTACGGCTCTAATCTGTGACCTATAGGTCACACAATCGAAATAATAATCCATTAGAAGGTTAGTTAATCGCATCCGCTTTCGTTTGTGTAGTCCTATTTTTTTCACGTTTTTTGTGAAAATTCTGTAAGGCTAATTCTCTCGCAAATATATGGGTTCCATATATTTATTATTTAATTAAATTTGTTATAATTGTTTGTTAGAAAATTTGTTACGTTCCCGAAACTTTTTTGAGAAAGGTATTCCCAACAAACACTTTTTAGAAAGTTAAGTATAAAATTTGTTACAAAGTCCAAACACATCGGGGAGACAGCAAAGGACGATAAGAACTTTACTTTTTTGTTTTTTGTTTTTTTGGTTTCTCACTATGCTCCGTATTTACTGAGGTTTCGGTTAACTTAGGATATTTACAACATGTGATTCATTAAAGAGGAAATCGATCCCTATAAAAATAAATTATGAATTGTTTTGTCAGAATTTCTGGTTTTAGATGATGCACAAAAAATTTTACTTCAAAATATTTAATGCATGTATTGATAATGTAAAAATAAAATTTTCTATCAATGTATATGAGTTAAATCCTTAGCTAAGATAATTTCTTTGTTTACACATCAATATTGTAATTTGTAAATATTGAACTTTCTTACTGCAATTGAACTTCAAATAAAATATTAGGATATGTTTGAAGGATTGTTATGTACCGTTTCATAATTTATCGTGTCGTATTGTACTGTACGTTTTGATGTATACAATATTTGGTTATATTATATTGTTTTTCGTTGTTTACGTGATGTCATGCACCAACAATATGAAGAATAAACTTGTAATATTATATTTAAAAAAAGAGTAAGGTGCGAGATAAAATTATTATATAAAGTAATATGATAAAGGATAAAATAAGATTATTTAATAATAAGGAAGAAAAAATGAGAGAAAAAATAAGGTAACGATGCAATCATATCAAAACGGTCATTACATAAAATAATACTTTTCGTCGTTACGTAACAACGGATTTATCAATACGATACAATAAAATTTAAATAGCAATCAAAATAAATATTATATTTAAAATAATACAGTACAATACAATAGTCGTTACTCGTTTGGTATGAGGTATAAGGTGGAATAAGATGTGAGATTAAATTTATATAGTATTTGATTGGTGCTATAAATTTATACCACCAATCAAATACGGTATAAATTTAATCCATAATATCCTATTTTATCTCCCATGTGCTATAAATTAGTCTTGAAATTAATATACCGGGATAATTTAGTCCGCGAATGACCCGTAAGTAACAACCATCTCCACACGTGAAATAGTAGTTTTTACTTTCAAATTCTTAAATTACTTTTAAACAGTCTTTTTCCATTTCAACTCAAAAAACACATGCTTAATTTACAGTACATGACTAGTTCAATTATTTGTTACTATTCACACGCTTTATTTACAGTCCAGTAAAAATTAGTCCGTGCTTATCACACTACACAAATACAGAGTATACAATCTCCGTTTTAAACGCAAGGAAAATGCCATCTCTTATTTCTCTTTCCTCTTTTTCTGTTTAATTATTTACTCTACTAAATATTCCTCTCTATATTTCGGGCGATCTTTTTTCCGGTCATTTACACGTTTTCCGATCATTTCTCTCTATTTACAGTTTTCAGTCCTGTCTATTTCCAGCTCTCTTTTTTTTTTTTTTTTGTTTTTTATATGGAATTAATGGTTTCAGATTGGGAGAAATGCAGTTGAACTAAAACGGTGTTTTTGGTATGAGCGGTTAGTTATTTTTGCGCTTTTTTTTTTTGTCATTTAATTGCTGCTAATTTAAGCTGAAACCATATCTTATTTTCACTATTTCTGAGAGGAATTTCGTATAAGGTTGTTTTCTGAATAGTTTAGTTCTTAAAAGAGTGTTTTTGGCGTGCAGTTAGTTATTTTTTGGGCTTTTTTTTAAAAAAGAAAAATTATTTTCTGCTAGTTTAAGCAAAAACATAGCTTAATATTCATTGTTTCAGAGAGGATTTTCGTATAAGGTTGTTTTGTGAATAGTTTAGTTCTTAAAAGAGTGTTTTTGGCGTCCAGTTTGTTAAGTTTTCGGCTGTTTTTGTAATTTATTTGCTGCTATTAAAGCTAAAATATAGCTTAATTTTCATCATTTCAGAGAGGAATTTTGTCTTAGGTTGTTTATCAGATTAATTTTGTCAATGGATGCTCACAATTATCATGGTCCAGTTAGTGGAAAAAAGAGTAATGAGTGGGATTCGATTAATTGGACATGGGATGGTGATTTATTTACAGCGGAGCGGCGGAATAATAATTCACTGCCATCAGATTGTTGTAAGAGCAAACAGTTAATGTTTCCTATAGGATCAGAGATTCATCCAGAAGCTAGTAGAATCTCCAATTGTTTTTCATCTGGTTCAGATGAATTACTGACATTAGGAAGTAATGATAAAGGGAGGAAAGAATTGGAGAAAAGGAGGCGGGCGATCGTCATTGAAGATGATGAACTGGATAATGAGGAAGAAGCTGGATCACTTAATTTGAAGCTAGGTGGACAATTGTATCCTGTGATGGAAGGGGATGAGGAAAAATTGGAAGGGAAGAGTGGTAAGAAGACGAAAATTGTTGGGGTTTCGTCGAATCGTGCAGTTTGTTGTCAAGTGCAGGATTGTCGAGCTGATTTGAGCAATGCTAAAGACTACCATCGGCGACATAAAGTGTGTGATGTGCATTCTAAAGCTGCTAAAGCTTTGGTGGGCAATGTTATGCAGCGATTTTGTCAGCAGTGCAGTAGGTTAGCTTTCTAGTAGAACATTTGCATATTCCTGTATATTTAACAAATAAAATTATTACTCTAGTTCTGTGAACCATTTAAATATGATAAAATCAGATTCTGTGAAAAGTGAAAACCAGATACATTGGTTTCTATTATCTCTAGTTTTATCAACCAAGGGAGCCTTGGTGCAACGGTAAGAGTTATTGCCGTGTGACTAGGTGGTCACGGGTTCAAGCTGTGGAAACATGCTCGTGCAGAAATGTAAGATAAGGTTGTGTACAATAGACCCAATGTGGTCCGACCCATCCCGGGACCTGCCCATAGCGGGAGTTTAGTGCACCTGGTTGTACTTTGATCTCTAGTCTTATGTACCATTTAAGTATTATAAAAGTAGAAGTTCTGGAAACCTGATACATTGGTTTTTCTTATACGTAAGATTAAATAGATAACATTGTCCATAACTTATACCTGGTTTTTCTTAGTCACTGTCTCTGTTTTGATGTAACATGCCCTAATATAGCTCGTGGAATTGTGTGGTTACCTCATCTAAAAGGTTGAGGTGTTTGAGAGGGAACACTTTTATTTAGTTAATTATATCTTCAATACATCTACATTTTAATACTCTTGGAACATGTAGTCATGGAAAATGATCATGGTTTGGTGTTATGATTACTTTTTTGCAGGTTTCATGTTCTACAAGAGTTTGATGAGGGGAAGCGGAGCTGTCGTAGGCGGTTAGCTGGTCATAACAGGCGAAGAAGAAAAACACATCCAGAAAATGTAGCTAATGGAGCCTCCATGAATGATGAGGGGGGTATTAACTACTTATTAATTAGTCTGCTGAGGATACTGACCAACGTACAGTGTAAGTTATCTCTATTCCATGCTTTTCCTGCATGATATCTTTGTCTTATGACAGAAGATGTTCGGCCAGTTAATTAGGTAATAGCATTCTCATGACATAGTAAGGTGTGCTTGTAAGTACTTTCGATGTTATGGTCATTGGTTAGAGTGCTATTCTATAATCAAGAAGTTTAGAAAGAGAGGAATGTATAGTTATTCTTTGCCTGACATAGAATCACCTTGATGAATACAATGATGTCTATTCCATAAACAGCATTTCGTCTCTATGAACCGGGAGTTGTAAGATATAACTGATAGTGGGAATTGCTTTTGGGAACAGGAGGGTTGTTTTCCTATACTGTATTTAGTTTGAATGGTTGAAACATCAGGACAGGTTTTTATTACCTAGTTTGGGTATTCCGATTTATCGTAAAGGCTACACATGACATAGGGCATTGGGTCAGGGATTAGCAACTAATAATTGATGGACATTAAAATAAATCTCGGTGGTAATTATCGACTGATGCTTCTACTGGAACATTAGCCATCATTACTTGTGTACTATCCATTGAGACTGTATTGTTCAAGTAATCTATAGAACTAACCAGAGTAGTTAACTTTTAATCTGTACGGGATTGCACATTAGTTGCAATAATTTATGTAAACTGCAACAATCGGTTGACTCCAGAATTTCCATAAAGATTAAATACATCCGTAGAAGTAGTAGAAATCATGTGAAAGTCCACTAGTTCTATTGTTTTTTGAGTGATCTTCGAAAGAGTAGCTGCTGAGAGACCGGTAAGTTTTACTTCAACATAACGAACTTTAGGGATATGCAACAGAAGGATCTGATGAGTTGAAGCTATCTTGCCTATTAATTCCTTGAACTTGGAAGAAGTTCATATAGATCTTTGATTTTCTTTTGAAATCTTCAACTGCAAGTCGCATTAATTAATGTATATAAACCATCATTAGTCAAGTTTGAGGGTGGGGATATCCTGCATCACATACTAACGGTGAGGATCCAGCTCTTTAGGACCTAGACTCGAATTCTCATGTCTTTCAAAAGTCCAGTTACGGGTGGAATTGCGATTTTATCACAGTGGTCAAGTGCGCTGGACGACACAGCATTCTCGTTTAAATGGTACCATCAAACAGAGACCAGATTGCTACTAGAGAGAGGAATTCATCTGGGTTGATTGGTTGAACACAGACCTTCCACTGGCAGGCAATCATGTTTTCTCTCATTTGTATATTCTTAGGACACATTTGGTTACAAGTATTTGGGAAATAATCCTTGTATAAAAAAACTATTATTGTTAGTACCACTATTATTTTTTACCAGAATCATTCTATTGCTTTATTAATCCATGTATTTAATCCCTGTATTAAAATCTTTGTATTGAGTTATCTGCAAACCAAACTACCCCTTACAGTTTAGACTAGCCTATAAATGGTTATGTGACTCAATTACAAGTCTTCTTTTGTCATGCTTTGACGAAGTGGTTATGTAGCTGCTGAAGAAAAGGAGTACTAAAATTTATGCTGCTTTGATCCATCTTTTCCATAGTTCTAATTGGATTATCTTCAGAGGACTCTTGCTTCTTAATTGGAAATTAGGCTTTTCAAATAATTGTCTTTTGAAGTACCAAGATTCTGGAGACTTGGAATTTACTCTCAGAGAGAGACACAATTGTATTGCAGGCACGGTTAATTCATTCTCAATTTCTCAATGGCTTCTGATTCAGTTATTTTTGTGGGGTGTTTGGAAATGCATAAATTTTGTTTAGCATTGTTAAAATGTTAAGTGTTAGTGGTAGCATGTTAGAGTTAGAGAATTAGGGTTAATTTCTTATGTTGGATATTGCTCGACATTGGACAATATCATATTAAGTTTAGATGTCTTGTATTCATTAAATCATCTAGTCATCAATGTGTCTCTTCTCTCTCATTTCTCCTCACAAGGTATTCAGACCTCTATGATATTGATAGAGATTTTAAGTAGCTTCTGTCTTGTGGAATGTGATCTTCTTATATGAGTGGTTATAGTTTCAAATTTCGACTTACTTTGGAAACTTTAATCATGGCTGAGACCTTCCTTCCTAGAAGAAAGAAAAGGAAAAGATGATTTTGTGCTGAGACTTGATCCAAGCTAACCTTTATTAGGCTTAGAACTGAGAACAAGAGAATTGTTTGATCACTTTCCTCATGGAAAAGTGTCGCATCTTGTGAAAAATTTCTCAGATCACGAGCTACTATGGAGAAATGCTGAATGCAGAGATAAATAACCAAAGAAATAAACAGCACTTATGATACTTCATCAAGAGTTTTGTTATCTTCGTCAATCCCTTTAAACTCAATATTCGTTTTTGGTATGCTAAATATATTATTAATTTCTGCGTAATATATCTCCAATTTAGAAAAACAGTGACGTTGACCTTCCCAACGAGGCTGTTCATTGACATATGGGCTAAAAATTTTTGGAGGTGTGCGTATCTAATGAAACCACCTAAGTATTGAATACTCACCTTTTGATGACTGCGATTGCAAGATTTTGATGTTGTTTTCTTTGAGAACTCATTACCATGTAAATTAAACTAAATCCAGTTCTCTTGAGAGTATATAAACATATCCACGTTGACAGTGTGTTAGAGGGTAAATTAACATATTGTTTTTGATGGAATCTTTTCACTTGATTATGTACTGATAATGTCTCTTGTAATATTGAGCTTAGTTTATGCAGTTGAGAGTCCTAATTAGCTCAGGGAGTACTTAGTACCTAGTCAGTTTGTCTCTAACAAGCTTTTGAGTTCCACAAGAATCATGATAACATATAGGCACATAAATAGGTACTTATTTAGAGATTTTGGTGTATGTGAATTGGAGGAGTTACTTTCTGGCTTCTTCTCATTATGAAATGCAGCCAATAGCTCAGATCAAACTAAAGACCAGGATCTACTGTCCCATCTGATGAGAAACCTAGCTAGTTTGGCTGGTGCAACTAATGAGAGGAATACATCGGGCTTGTTGTCTGCACCTCCAGAGCAGCGTAATGTAGGGACATCTATGGGGGCTCCAAAAGAGGTCTGCACTATATCCAAACATTGGTATTGAACCTTTTTCGCTTCAGCTTCTGATTGGATTGATTTGCAGGATTCTCTTAGGCCTACTGGGAATTGTTTGATACCTGCATCTGAAGTGACAGAGAAGAGAATGGGCAGGAGTGATGTTGAATATGGGATTTCACAAAATCCTTGTGCCTGGCAGCCTCATTCTCTTTGTTGCAGAAAAGAGAGCTCACCTATCAATGCAAATGCCTCAGCTAAGGTGAAGCTGAATAATATCGATTTGAATAACATCTATGATGATTCTCAAGATGGCAATCAAAAGCTGCAGAATTCTGATGCCTCTGCAAACCCAGGGGCTGCATCTTCTGGCTGTCCTCTATGGATATGTCATGACCCTCATAAGTCAAGCCCAGGGACAAGTGGGAACTCGGGATCTACCTCATCCCTTTCGCTATCTAATTCCAGTGGAGAGGCTCAGGTATGAGTTTTGTTTTCTATTGCTGTTTACCATTGTACTCATATGCAATTTGTTTAGCTGACAGGCATGTTTTCTGCAGTGCTGGTCTTCAGCTTCTAATTTGTCCCTAAAATTTTGATGAAATATCTGGAAATTGAAATCCATATCTTTAGCAGGCTTGTGTACATTGTTCTTCTCATCTATGATTTAAACTCGAGTAAGTAAGTAGCTTAATAATACTTTCAGCAATTAGCACTTGTACTTCCCAGCCTTGCTAGGCCTTCAACATTGGCTGCCTGTAATCGTGACTATGATTCACTACTTCCACCAAATATGGTAGATTATGATGCAAACATGTCCAATCTGCCATGCTATATCGGCTCTACAGTCCATAGATCCTCCAATATATATGTGCAGACTACCACGATGTTCCATAAGTATGCTCTTCCAAACTATCAGCCAGACATTCTGTCATAGAGGCTGCTAAATTTACCTGTGCAGATATTCAATTCCCCCGTTTCTCTATCATGTGAACTGCGGCTACGAGATATGTGGCTCCTATATCCTATATTTACCAAGGTGTTTTGCAGTAAAATTCTCTCTTTGAGAAAATTTGATTCAGTTGTATTTTGGTGATAAAAAATATATTGTTAATGTTTGGTAAATAGATCTTTGAGTTTGAGATCAATGTGTTTGTCTCATAAGGTTACTCTAGGCTGTTTGTCCCTGTAGTGCTAGTCAGATACTTGATCTTAGCCAAAAGTCCGAGAAAGATATTGTATTGCTAGTCAGATACAGAGAAAAAATTTCTAATGACTTTGATTATTAACACTTGATGCATCAATGGATAAAGATGATTTGTCTATTAACTACAAGATTTCGACTAATTTTCAGAGTCGAACAGATCGTATAGTCTTTAAACTCTTTGGGAAAGATCCTGGTGATTTTCCTACAGCCTTGCGGAAACAGGTATTTGGTACTCTTGCTATAATATTCTTCAATGACAGTGTTCTCATGTTTCTTTTATCTCAATTTGAAACCAAACCTTCTCTATTCCTGGGCAATTGCAGATTCTTGATTGGTTATCACACAGTCCTACAGATATTGAAAGCTACATTAAGCCTGGTTGTATTATACTAACAATATATCTTCGGATGGATAAATCCATATGGGAGGAGGTAACTTTTTTTATTCTCAGAAATGTGTTACTTAATTTTATGAGAGGAAGAAGTGGAGCAATAAAGGTTTTAGGCTTTGTTATTTAACAAGAAAGGGAAAGGAAACAGAAAAAATATGGCCACAATGGATAATATTTGGATAAAATGAAGCCAAAAATGAGTGTGATATAAACATGCCTGATTCTTGAAATCAGAGAATTGCTTTAGTTATCCTCTGTATTAACTATTCGCTGTACTTTTCAACAAAATGAAACTAGCAAATTAAATCCCCTCGGGCCATACTTCTTCTCTTTCCTTTTCCTTTTCCTGTTCCTGTTCTCTTAATGTTTTAGCCAAACAAATATTGCTCCTAATTACTTTCCCTGTGCAGCTTTATTGTGATCTTAATTCTAGTTTGAGGAAGCTTCTTAATGCATCCGCGGATTCCTTTTGGCAAACTGGATGGGTTTATGCTAGGGTGAATGATCGAGTGGCATTTTTGTTTAATGGTATATTCTCATCCTTCATTGTATCCTTTCTTGATCTCTCTTTTTCTCGACAATAACGCCACTGATATGAACATTGAGTCTTTGCTTCTGTACTACAGGGCAGGTTGTTCTGGACACTTCCTTACCAGTCAAAAGCCATAGGAGCTGTGGGATATCAATTGTCAAACCTATTGCAGTTTGTGCCTCCGAAAGAGTTCAGTTTCTGGTGAAAGGCGTTAACCTATCCCGGCCCACTACAAGGTGACTTAAATAGACATTTGTTTGATCCTAAAGACGTTTGCCTTTTCCTTTTCCTATTAATTTTCTGCTTAGCTGGTTAGAGTATTTTGAGCTGGTTAATTGATTCTTTGTTTGTCTCCACTTCCCTTTTAGGTTACTATGTGCCCTGGAAGGGAATTACCTGGTCCAGGGTAACTGTACTGATATGATGGTGGGAGCTGATTCTTGTATGGACCATGAAGACATCCAGTCCCTTAGCTTTCCTTGTATTCTGCCAAATGTTACTGGCAGAGGGTTCATTGAGGTGAAGTTATTTTCTTTTTTTTCCTTGATGCTTATTAACTGTTAATTTATCTTCTTGTTTTCCCTATCTTGGAGCAATCCTGTTTGGTTTATTATGAATGGAATTTGATGCTCGTTGGTTTACTAATGATTCTCAGTTTTATCTTGCAAGTAAATTTAGTGAAGTACCTCAATGAAAAGGATTAACATTTGGTCTCTGTGTGCAGAGTAAACCTAGGCTTGGATGTCAAAATATAAAATATAAATGCATTCACTGATCAGGAAAAAAAAGGATATCTATTTATTTTTTAACTCGTTGGTACATGCAAGCTATTATAGTATTATGTACTAACTTTTCGGTTGAACTCCTTGTTACTAGCCATGTGTTACTTTTCATTAGATCAACAGATTTTGGTTCATACTTCAGGTTTGTACTTACCTGATAAAATAGAGTAAAATCTTATATCTCCTCTCCTCTTTCTGCATAAAATTGACTGTATTGGATACACTTTATTCTTCTTCTGAAATGTAGTGTTCATTATCTTTGACTAGGTTGAAGACCATGGCCTTAGTAGCAACTTTTTCCCATTTATAGTTGCAGAGAAAGATGTTTGCTCTGAGATTCGTACATTGGAGAGCAATATTGAGGTTGCTGAAATGGCTGGTGGTTTTCTCCAAGGAACTGAAAACTTGCAAGCCAGGGAGCAAGCTCTTGAATTTTTACATGAAATGGGTTGGCTGCTTCATAGAAGTCATTTGAAATTTAGAGTGGGTTCTGGTGTCAACTTGAATCTCTTCCCTTTTCAGCGATTCAAGTGGCTTATAGAATTCTCCATTGACCAAGACTGGTGTGCTGTCGTAAAGAAACTGTTGGATGTTTTCTTCAATGGCATTGTAGATGTAGGACAACAGTCATCACTTGACATTCCCTTGCGGGAGGTTGGCATCCTTCATCAAGCCGTGAGGAGAAAGTGCAGATCCATGGTAGAAGTCCTATTGAAATACCGTCCGCATGGAGCTTTTGACAAATCAGGACTACAAAAGAAACAAGATGATCGTGACTATTTATTTAGACCTGATGCAGTGGGTCCTGGGGGTTTGACTCCACTTCATCTTGTTGCTAGTCTTGCTGGCTTTGAGAATATTTTGGATGCATTAATTGATGATCCAGGACAGGTATATCTCCTTCTATTATGTGCATTTTGGTCTGTTGCATGGGAAACTGACAGTCCCCTCAATACACAGAAAGGGGGTGTGCAGGTGGGGTTGGGAGCTTTTTTTTTGGGGGGGGGGGGGGGTGGGGGTCTGGTAGAGCTAGTGAGTGGAAGTATACGAGACTAAGTCGTACCTTACTTT